TCTTTTTTTACATTTATTAATTGTGACAGTTTAAATTTGGGTGCAGAAAAACCACTGGAGACAGTATCAGAACATAACTTCTAATATGACCATTTTGTGTTGATTTTCTAGGGCATGAAAGACTAGTTCATTACTTTCTGTTGAGTTTTCTTCTTATTTTACTTAACTGATTATTTGGCATAGTACTGTCTCATTGTATATAGCAGATCTAAATAGGAGATTAAGCAGATAAAGCTCTTTAGGTGTGCCCTGAAATATTGTACCTAGACAATTTCTTGTGATAAGATCTTTAATTAATGAGTATGCAAGTATTTGTGTCTGGGAAAAAAATTTTATTCGCTAAGTACTCCTTTAAAAATCCTTGTTATTTTTCTTTAGTGAGGATGACAGCCTCTTCACATATGATTGCAGAACTGCAGAAAAGAAGTCACAAGAAAACAAAGGGTGAGGTGATGGGGAGGCGTCTTCAGGGCCTGACTCATGGTTTGCATCATGGTACCAGGTAGCTAAAAGTGGATGGTCTTCCTTGCTGAATTCTTCATTTCCACTTACCCTGCTGTGTGGGTAAAGCAGGTTCCACCCCAGAAAGAAACGTGTGACTTTCAAATTGGGCAATAAAATATTGGGACTTTTCTCAGTACTTAATTTGTCAGTAATTAACTATTTTATTAGTACCTTGAAATAATGCAGCGTAACTCTAACTGGACTGAAGGCAGGTGTACAGGATTAACTCTGGCTGATTGAAAAGTAAGTGCAGACTGTGATGATTTTGTGTGCAGGCTTTCTTTAGTAGAACTGGCTTTGTGGCTCAGTTAATTTTTTTTAGTACAATTTCATTTTTGCCTCTAGCCTTGGATTAGTTCATGTCCATGAGGGAGTGGGCCAGGTGATCTCTGAGGGTCCTTCCAGCTCAGCTTTGCATGTATGCTGAGAGAATTTTCTGTTTAATTAGATTTACTCCTTAAAAATTAGAGCTGTTTTCAACCTTTCTGTGTCCCCTTAATATACCTGCGTGATTTGGCTACATGAACCTCAGACCGTTTTCTCCCTCCTTGCATTGTAAATGCACAGGTGTTGCTGGAGGAACTCAGCCTTGCTCTGACCACTGTCCCCTCTCTCTCTCTCAGGGAGCATGGACAGCCCATGGATAAGGGGAGTGACACGATTCTGGCATCCGCCTTCTCCAAGTCTGGCAGCTATTTTGCCTTAACGGATGACAGTAAGCGTCTGATTCTTTTCCGTACAAAACCGTGGCAATGTCTGAGTGTCAGGTATGAAATGCTAATGTTGAGTAATTATGATGTCAAATGCACTGCTTATACTTGCATGCAAATGATAGTAGTGACAGTAACAATAGTAATAAGCAACTAACAGCACTGCTTCTGTGCCAGGCACTGTTTTCAGCGCTTCATGTGCATTAACTGATTTAATCCTTGGAGCAACCCTTGGTGGGGTGGGGGTGTTGTTTTCACCTTCCTTGGCCAGGAGTCTGGAAGCTGATTCCAGTCAGGCAGCCCAGATGGCAGAGCTGGGCCCTGAACCTGGGCACTCTGGCTCCAGAGGCGGTGCCCCTATCTGCGATACCTTCCTGCTTTCCAGTGGGCCTCCAGCCTCGTGGTGGCAGAAATAAAGAGCATCGGCACACACTCTAAGAGGGTCGGGGTTCAGTGTAAGTTAAAGCATCTGTGCTGCAGTGTTGCTAGGCAGGTTGTAAGTTCGTGCACTTTTCAGTGTCTGAAGCATGGGTGGGAGCTCAGTGCTGCTGGGGGAGGATGACGGAACTTGGCTGGAACATAGATGTCACAGGCAGAAGGGTCCTGAAACCTTCATCGACCTTATTTATTGTTCTTCTGAGTGTCTGTGGGTCACTTCCTAAGGGGCAGAGCACTGCAGGGTTGTGAGCCCTGGCTTCCCAAGGGCCCCCTCGCTTCACCGCTGCCACATTCTGAGGAGAGGAAGTGCCAGGACGAGGAGGCGTGTGCCTGGCAGACGTAAATTTGTGTTGGCTCTGCGGTCTCCTACTGTGCACCTCCTGTGCATGTTGTCTGTAGTTGGGAAGGCTGGGATTATTGATTATCCTTGATATTCACAGAAACACCCGTGTGGAGCAGAGTCAGCCCTGTCCTCTTGCTCTTGCCTTCTGAGGCTGCGTGGTGTAACTGACCTTTGATAATTTGGACTGCTAAGCACCCAAGGTTAAGGAATTCCCTTTTGTAGCTGCTTCACCCCCATATTGGGACAGCAATAGTTCTTAGATTTTTATTTCATGAAGAGTAAAAAGGCAATTTCCAGGTGGTAGCAAAACAAGGAAAGCTCACACTGCCTTTGATTTCAGTTGTGTTTGAAGTAAAGTCCTGTCACATTACTATACTTTTATTTTGTGTGTGTTTTTGTATATCATAGAGGCAATAGATGCCCATGATTTAAAAACCTAAAACAAAAAATTAAAGGCTGTAGGGTGAAGTGTGACCCCATTCCCTCCCACGGCAGACAGTCTGCGTAAAGGCATGTGTCGTAGGTGTGTTGCAGCTGGTGAGCTGTTTGTTCCAGCTGACTGTGAGTTCACAGTATCCATAGGTGGAAAGGCTTGGTGGGCAGCATCCTTTTGCCAAAACAGCCTGAGCCGTAACAAGTCATTTAGACTGTGGAGGTGTTCCAGGATTCAGGGTAAATACTACAGGAGGGCCTGGAGGTCACGGACCAAGTTTCTCCCACAGGGAGCCACAGGTCTGGAGTTGCCTCCACAGCCTCGGGGATGAGGCAGGGAGGGAGACAAGCCAGTGTGTGATGACAGAGGAGCCTGCTGGGAATACCACTGCAGAGAATACCACACCTCAAACAACAGGTGCTCGTTGATCAGTCTGGAGGCGGGAAGCCCAATACCAGGGTTGGCTTCTTAGCGTGTGGACGGCCGTCCTTTTGCAGCCTCTTCATGTGGTTGTCCCTCTGTGCGCCCAGATTTCTTCTTACAAGGGTACCCATCTTATCAGATTAGGGCCCATCCTGACAGCCTCATTTAAGCTTAGTTACCCCAGTCAAGGCTCTCCAAATACAGCCACATTTGGAGGAATAGGGGCTTTGGATTCCAGCACATGAATTTTGGGGGACATAGTTAGGCCCATAATGGGAGTTAATTTCACTGTCCTGACACTGCTGGGCTTATCTGTGGACCTTCTGTAGCTTATCAGTTTCTTAAAGGGGGTTTCACTCCCCAAAATGAAAATCAAATGATCTAAGGGAATTTGGCAGTAATTCTTTTGCTAAAGTAAAGGCTGTCTGGCTGCACTAAACTGTGCATGTGCCCAGGAGCCACTGGGGCTGAGGGTCTGCAACATTGACAGCTCCCAGTGGTTCCCCACAGCTGGTTGCAGGCTGCAGCGCAGTGTGGTTGGCACTCAGATTGCTCTCCAGGGACATCATGATCTGTAGCTGACCCCTGCGTCTGGGAGGGGTTTGGTGATGACCAGAGGACCCGGGTCAGGAGACCTGGGTGGTGGTGGAGGCCATGTGGCTCCTGGAGGCATAGCCGGCAGGTGGAGACAGAAGAGGAGAGGCAGGAGGCCGTGTCTCGGCCCGACTGTGTGGTGGCTGGACAGTAGCTGTCCTACCATCCCCGTTGATGGACCTTTTTGCTTGTGTTTTACGTTTTTTTTTTCTATTTGAAAGCACTTGAGTGAATTATCCACAGATGTAATAAATCACATGTATCTGAAGACATTCCAGAAATGAATCACTGGGTCAAAAATATGTGCTTTTGTCATTTAGGTGGATAATACCAGATTGCTTTCCCAGGGGCTTCTGTCTCTACCTCCCAGAGCATCAGGGGTCCTCTTCCTCCCAGCTGGATCGCACAGGCTGCGTCAGGCCGTACAGCTGCCGAGTGTGGTGGGGTCATAGCCTCTGGGGCACGTGTCCTTAAGGGGGAGCAGCTCTTCATTTTTACGGACTCGTGAGCCGCCTCCTGCCTCTGCTCTCCTGCTGGGTGGGGCTCCTTTCCGGCTGGGTCCTGTGTTGGAGAAAGGAGGCTTCTCCTGTTTGTTCTGCAGCCTCAGCAGCACGTGTGGGAGGTGAGGGCCCCTTGGGGCTCCGGGTTTAGATCAGCAGTTCCCAACGTACCTGCTCAGCTGGCCAGCTTCTCAAAGACCCGCGGTCCACAACCAGGGCGTGTGTGGTTTATGTGCTGGCAGGTGGGAAACAGTGTAGATAGGGCTCTTGGTGGGAGCTTGCCGGTACCCCTTCTGAGGGATGGTAGGTTGTCAGGGAAGCCCAGGGCAGGTTCTTAGTCTGGCCCCCCGGAGTGCAGAAGTTTACCTGCCATGGTTATTCTCCCTAATTTTCTCCTTTAATTTTTTCGTTCACACGAAAAACCGGAAACTGCAGAGGAAGTACAAAGTGGGAACAACAATCACCCCGAATTGGGTCATCCAGACGTAGCCCTTGCGAGTGGACCCCGGTGCTCACCCCCCTGGGCTCGTCCGCACATGCAGCAGCTGTAGTGCCTGCCGCTTTGTAGCCCGCTTCCACAGGGACATGCTGTGTCCTTACACGGTGGCCCCCTGTCCAGTTTCCTTGCTGTCCGCTTCTGCCTCTGGAACTGGGAGTTGGGCTGATGTTGAGGGACAACCCTCACCTTTGTCACCAGCTGCAAGTTTAGGGGCCCCAAGACCAGCATCAGGGTTGCTGTTGAGGAGAAGGACCCAGAACTCCCTGAAAGCCACTGTGCTCATGGTGACCATAGGTTCCGGTGAAGGGGTGCAGGTTGAAGTCGGCCAGGGGGCTGGGCATCTGGGTGTCCTCTCCACGTGGACTCAGGGCGCAGTGTCTGCCAGTGTCTGGTGGTGGCATGCAGTGGGTCTCCCAGCCAGGGAGGCTTTCCTGAGCCTCAATGTGCAGACTCTTGGGGTCCTGGTCAGGTGTGAGCTTGACTGCTCATCAGTCCTCAGCCCCCAGGAGCCCCCAGGAGTCCCCGTCGTGACTCATGTTAGACCGTCTGGTGGGGCCCAGAATCCAGGTACATGAAGGTACTCCTAGAGATGACCTCCCAGGGTGTGAGGCCAGAGCAGAAGTCTTCGCTGCCCAGGTGTGTCCACTGTTAGGGCTGTACCAAGAGAGGCTACCCCATCTGAACGGTGGCATCTGGGGGTGCATGGGAGCGGTGTCGGGTGGCAGGGGCCCTGGTGAGTCAGCAGCGAGCCTACACTCGTTTTGCAGGTGGAGTCCTGAGCTGCTGGCAGGTGGAACCGTGCACTCAGCTCATAGCTTGGGCTTTGCTTCCAGCCTGGGAATGGCACGTCCACATGGCCTGCTGGCACTCCCCTGGGTCCTGTAGTGGAGTCTGTTCCTCTGTGGAAAACTTCTGAGTGGCTGTGGTTCTAGAAGGGGTCTGGCAGCAGGCAAGTCTGAAGGGAGGAAGCTCGAATTCTCCTGACTCAAGTGGGTCCCTGTGGCTGTCAATTGTCAAATAGGGAATTGAGGGTGAGACCCCCTGAGTGCATGGCCTGAGTGGGTGTTAAAACATACATGTGGGTGTGTCTGGTTCTCTCTTCATTGTGGTCTGTCAGTGGGAGGTGGTGTGACCTCAAAAAGAAAAAAACATATATGGTGCATTTAGGCCAGTGAGACCATTGCAGCCCCACAGTTCAGTGTTGGGGGTGGGGGTGTTTCAAGGCCTAGTTGCTCAACCAGAATCTGCTCACTGGCAGAGGTTGGGGGCTAGGCCAGCCCTGTGGGGGCGTGAGGACACGAGTGCTAGGCTGTGAACCCAGTGACTCCAAGAGGGAAGGGTAAGAGGAGACCCCCCAAGAGCCAAAGAATGGTGAGGCCACTGCCTCCATCCCCAGGGTAATGGTGGCCAGCCCACCTGCTGTCCTGCCCCATGACCTGCCTCTCACCATCCACAGCCTGACTCACTCAGACCCTAACTCCCAAACTACGGCTGAGCTGCATCCTGGCATCTTGCCATGATGAAATAACCTGAGCAGCTGGAAGCCCCCAGCTGCCAAGAGACAAAGGCACGAGAGGGGGAGTGCCATTCTGTGTTGGCTTGGAGGTGGGGAGGGGCTTGCTTTCTCAGGTGGGTGAGCCCACTTGAACCCAAGCTGGTTACTCCCGGAGGACCTGCCTGGGTGGCTGTGCTCTGCGCGTCATCAGCCCAGGGAACACCCAGCTGCATTGCTGGCACAGTGCGGGACTTCAGTTTAATGCGGAGGACTCAGAATTCAGATTAATCTTGCTGGGGAGCCAATTATCTTGTCATTGTTTTCTCCATATTTATCATATGGTTGCTGGGCAGCCACATCTAGGGAGGTCTCTCCCTGCACGTTGGGTGAATCCTCCACCTAGACAGGAAAGAATTCAGTCAGGTCGAACAAGTGCCCGCAAGAAAGGAGTTCATTAAAGCAAGCATGACAGCGAAGGGCAGCAGCTGTGCAGGTGGCAGAGCACAGAGAAGAGCAGAGGGAGGGAAGGGACACCCACTGAATTCGGTGTGGGGCAGATCCCTCGCTAGCTCCTACATTTAGCCTGGGTCACCTGGTGTCCAGTGTCTGGTTGAATCTGCATGGTGTGTGAGTTATATCCCTAGTACCCCAGGATTTGGGGGAGCTGTGGGGCACTGGATATAATGAGATTATGTTTTGAGAACTTCATTTCCATGCTTGTCTGAAATAAAACAGAGAAAAAGGATTGTGTTAAGACTAGAAAGCTGAATGAAGTAGCAAAGTGACTGTGGGTAAAATTGTAACATTTCTAGAATATCTCGCCTGGCTTTAGCACATCTGCATATCAGTAGGCATTCAGTGGTGGAAAGAAGTATGGCTTTAGAGCATTTGCATCATTCCTCAGGGGTGGAGAGAAGTTCATCTCCGTATCAGTGGGTGATTACCTGGGCAACCTAGGGCTTACGGACCTGGGAGGTGAGGGGAGGGCGGTTTTCTCTGGAGCAGTAAAGAGGAAAAAGATGGCCCTGGACTGCAGTTTGTGAGCAATAAATGGATTTTAAACTCTATTTCTCCCTTTGACTGATTTTGGTTTTTAGAGGCATTTTGCCCCGGGATTTCTTCTCCCCAGACTTACAGTGACAAAGACATTCCACCCGAGGTGGAGGTCACGGAGTTCTTGCTTTAATCCTGAGAAAGAGTTTAGAGAGGAGAGCAGTTGGCTTATGCAGCAAGGTGTATCTGATAGCAGGTAGTACATGATGGAGTGCGGGTGACCTCGGAGCAGGTGCACTTCAGCTTTTAGGGTCTGGAGTTTTATAGGGCCTTTTGGGGAGGGGTCAGCTTAAGGCATGATGCATACAGGCTATTAGTAATTCCTTTGAAGTTCTGTCTTCAGAATAGGTTTATTTAGGTGACAGTGTTGAGGATCCTGGCATTCTTTATCCACACAGGTTTATTTACACTTTGAGGTCTGTCTTTCATCCTAGTTACAAAGTTACCTAATTGTTGAAGGGGCGGGAAGAAGAGGAAGGACAGTTTGTAGATTAAGTTAAAGAATAAACTGGCCTTCTTCACAGGCTCACTAGACCTTACACGTGCCTGACCCTTGTCCGGCTTCCTGCTCACTCTCAACCTCACTCTCAATCTCCTTTCTGCTGCCCGAGGCCTGGTGGGGCGCCCAGGAGCTCAGCCAAGGCTTTTCCTCCTGCATTTTCTGTCCTTTTGTTCCTGTGCTACTGAGAAGATCTGTGTGTTGGGGACCTTATTTCTCTAGGCTTCAGTTTCCACCTCAGGCTGGCGTGGGGTGGCTGCATGCTGCCTGTGTGGACAAGCTCTCCCTGGGAGAGAGGGTCCACTTCACCCCCTCGGCGACAGGAGAGCAGGGACTGCTGCTCTTTGCAAAGAGCTGGGAATGCAGGTGATGTAGGTAAATGTAACATTTGAGTGGAAAGCAGTGGTACAACTTGTGTCTAATACAGGATAAAAAGTGCAGATACCTTACTTTGTGGAGATTGTTTTGCTAGGGACGAAATGGGAAATGATAACAGGAGGAAGTAGCATAGACCCCAATCCCTGGATGCGTAGATGTCGCCATGTGGCCCGTATCAGCACTGGTCTAACTGGCTTTATGAAGTGACTCATGAACCAGGCAGCGTCCCATCTAGCAAGCAGAGAGATGCTCTGAGTTGTTGTTCAAAATGGGAGGTTTTCATAGGGAGGAGGATGGGGGGAGACATGATTAGGGAAAGAAAAGGTGTTGTCCCAGGCCTGGTCTCCTCCCCTGGAGGAAGGCAGGGGTCTTAGCATGCAGGTCACCTCTGTAAGGGCTGATAGGAAATTCCAGACAGATTGGCGGAAGATTATACTCCTGGGAAAGGCCGACTGCATTAGGTGGGATATCAAATCTTGGTGGGGCTGTTTGGGGCTGCTTTTTTTTTTAACATAGTACAAATGAGGTGTGACCTGTGGCTTTGTTTCTCAACTACTGACACTGTTATTGAACCAGCTTGAAAGTGACAGGTTTTGCGGATCCAGGATTTGAGTTTTGTGAGCGTGCTGACTTTAACACAGCCTGAGCTGGAACACAGACCCCGGGCAGTTTATGCCCCCTGACAGTGTCCAGCCTCCCCAGTATTGCCCGTCCACGAAGAGATCCCTCAAGTCACCATGCAGTGAAGGCAGTTTTATTTGAGCCAAACTTAGGAGGAGCCTGAGAGACATAGCTTCTAACAGAGGGAGCTTGGGGGTCTGGAGCCCTGTGAGGTTTCGTGTTCTGCAGGCAGACAAGAGAGACAGGACCCCAAAGGAGTGTGTTCCGCCCATAAGAGAGGCACTGCTCAGAACCACTGGAGGCCAGTACCTCTTGGCACTGGAGAGAAGGAAGGGGAGGGGCAGACGTTCTCGCTCATTTTATGTCCTTGACGGATAGATTATTTTACTGATGCTGACCAGAAGATCCCTGACTGATGGCAGGTTGCAACTAATCAAGTTAGGTATGTAGCCCCAGTTTGGTGACTTGGCCTAGCTGAAGTGACACCATGTCAGGCCTGTGGTTTTCTTTGTAACCCCCTAGTGGGGGTAGGCCGGCCAGTGCTGCTTTTGTGATGTGTCCTGTCCCATCTTCCAGGGCCTGGTGCATGAGCAGCGTGCCTGGGGCTCCAGGTCTGGTGTTGCGGAGCAAGGGTGGTGGGGCTGGCGCATGGCTGCGGGGCTCCCGGGTGAGAAGCTCCGAGGGCAGTGGGCTCCTCTGAGTGGGCGTGCCTGTGGTTTTGACAGTGGCCCAGAGCAGGTCTGACCATTGTCTTTCCCTAAGTGCACCACAGAGGGGCTGGGGTCCAGGAGCAGTTTCCCCGACGTCCATGACAGTCTTCAGACACAGCAAAGTTGAGGGAATATCATGTTAGACACCGAGCTCTCCACCCCTCAGATTATGAGGGTGAAGTTTGTCTAAGGCATTGGCTCTGTTTCTGCCTCTTGCTCACTTTGTTTTCTGGCCCTGTGGTAACAGGAGAAGGAGACACGGCAAGCAGCTGCTGTGTCAGTGCTACATGTGGCTCGCGGGTTTGTCGGAGGGTCCTGGGCTGACTGGTGGGGGCCAACCGTGGGCATCTCTGGCTTTCCAGGCCCGTGTTGAGGAGGTGCACGGCCCTGACATTCACAGCCTCTGAGGACAAGGTTTTGGTGGCTGACAAGTCGGGGGATGTTTATTCCTTTTCGGTGCTGGAGCCACACGGATGCGGCCGGCTGGAACTTGGGCACCTGTCGATGTTGTTAGATGTGGTATGTGGGCCGCGAGCTTCATTAACTCTGCTGCAGCCAGGCTTGGGGTGCAGAGGCGGAGGGTCTGACCAGGTCAGGGGTTGGGTTCTCTTGGAGCAGGGACAGCTCTGCAGGTTTGTGAGCAGGGGGGCTACAGACACTGAGTTGAGGAAGGTGGAGCAGACAACACGCAGAAGTGGGGTGGTTCCAGACGTGAGGGGCAGCTGGATCGGGGTGACAGGTGGAGGGCTGTGGGAAGGGCGGGTGCAGTTGTGAGGTCTGAGCGCATCCCCTGTACTGTATGGACATTGTCTCTGTGTCCTTCTAACCTGAGTCTGGAGCTGTCCCACCCGGGGCCCCTAAGGGGCCAGTGAGGGCTGGGTGTGGGGGCTGGGGTGGGACCCTTGGGGATACACGGGAACAGCGGGGGAGGGGTCATGAGGGAGAACCCACCAGGACTCGGCGACTGACTGGACACGGGGACACGGGAAGGCAGGTGACCAGGGCTGGGAAGGCAGGAGCAGGGCAGCCAGGTCTGCTGTCCTGACCAGTGGGCCTGCCCTTTCTCTCCCCTGGCGTGCAGGCTGTGAGTCCCGATGACCGCTACATCCTCACTGCTGACAGGGATGAGAAGATCCGGGTCAGCTGGGCCGCGGCACCGCACAGCATCGAGTCCTTCTGCCTGGGGCACACCGAGTGAGTCTCCACGCCGTGCCCGCAGAAGTAGCGTGGCTTCATGACCCAGAGGGGGGCTGTTCACCTTGGAGCTGGCGGCGCCTGCTGGTCGCCGTGCCGCACGGGATGCGGGAGCTGCCTTACCAGCAGCACTCAGCTGGCCACAGGACTTCAGTGTCTCCTTCCCTGCTCCTGTGTTTTGGGGTGGGTTTCCTTGCTGGTGTCCCTGCCGCGCAGAGCCGGGGTGAGATGCGGCAGGAGGCTCACTTGCAGCCTGCCGCTTCCCGTCTGCCACCCGCACTGGCATTTCTGTGCCGGACCCCAGGCGAGGCTTGTTCTGGGAGCTGCTCTCTGTGTCTGCACCTGGCAGTGCCCTGTGGTGGTTGCCGGTCAGTAGGTGGGTGTGTTGGGGATGAGGAATGTACTTGAGAAATTTGAGTGGCCTCCCTGCTGGCGGCTGTCACTTACCTTGTGAGTTGTCTCCTGGTAGGTGAGTCTGGTTTGACATTGTGCCAGGGAGTCATTCTGAAGGATACTGCGCTTCTCAGGCAGAAGAAGGCTAGTCCCGTGTGCAGAGGAAAGGCACTGAGTTTACTTGGCAGAAAGAAATGTTTAAACTACGTCCTTTGCAGCAGCGGAAGACATTGGAGGGCCTTAATTCAGCTCCAAGATTGCGCCCATTTGCTTGGTTTTGGTGAAATGTAAAGATGGACCTTTAAGGAGGTAGATGGCTGCTCAGCTTGTTCCTCCTGACGGTTTATTTTGGTTTTTGTTCAGTTCTCCAGTTGTGTCTGGAGTTCTTAAGACCTGCCAGCCTGCTGGCCTCCTCTCCACTGTGTCACCAAGGTCTTCGCTTCTCCTGCTGCCCCGGGGCCTTTGCACCTGCTCTTTCTGCTGATGTACATGTCTTCCCTCCCTTCCCAGCTTCCTGCTTGAGGCTACCTGCCTGCTCAGGAAGCTGCCAGCGCTCCCACCCCACTGAGGAAACCCTGCCCTTGTCCTCCCACACTGTGCTTTTCCTCTGAGCCTGCACCATCCAGGGCAGAAGCCACAGCCATGCGGTCTGAGTGAGGTGATTGCAGGTTAAATGGTCGTGTTTCGGATGTGGTGAGTTAAGTGAAAGCATAGTATTAAAATGAGCTTTACCTGGGTCTGCTTCTTAACCTGGACACTCGCAAATTTAAAAGAACTTCTTTGGCTCACGTCCACACGTGTTTCTGTCTGGCTGTGTTTCTGTCAGACAGCGTTCCCCTGCGACTTCGCTGACACGTAGGTCTCCTTGGGGCCTGCACGTCCTGGGCGGAGGGTCTCTGTGGGTTGTGTTTATCCTGTCTCTAGCCCTCAGCACAGCACCTGGCAGGTATAGGTGCTCAGCAGACATTCTGAGTGAGTAATGAATACCCACTGGATTTTAAGAAACTTGTCTAAAACTGCACCTGTGGTTTTTGCCCCATTGCTGTTGAGATGATGAGGTGACTTGCCCTCTGTCCTGGCTGCACTGTGCTGTCCTGGTGACACTGTGTGTATTTCCTGCAAGGTGTGTGTCTCCTTACTGGGTTCCTGAGATTGGAATCTAGTACCTCCTGGAAGGCAGCCCTGGTGAGGGGCCCGCTATGGCCAGGACCGGGCCAGGCCAGGTGATGCCAGGAGTCTGAGGCTGCTGCGGTGGGGCCGTGCTGGGCCCCCCCTCTCAGGGGTCCCTGGGAGCCACACAGTGGTGATGGCCTGGGAGCTGGGAAGCTGTCCTGTCGTAGAGGCCAGAGCTGGTTATGACTTACAGGCTGAGGTGGGCTTTGGAGGGTGCTGGCTGCTGAGGCTGAGGGATGGTGGGTCTGCTCTGACTGCTGGTCGCTGTGGCTGCTCTTCCTCTGTATCTGCTCTGTCCTCTAGTCTCGCCCTGTGGCCCATCACCAGGGATCCACAGAAGGCGTCTGGGCAGTGGTTGGAGTGCCGTGAGCCAGGCAGTTCCCAGGGTGGCCTGGGCCTGCCCGTGCTGGGAGGTTGTGTTGCTGGGGCCCCAAGAACGGTGCAGCAGGCTCCCTTAGCTTCCTCACTGCCTCTCGGTCACACCTGTCACTCCTCTCGGGTAGACATCTCGGGAAGAAGGCTTTTCCCCGAGGCTACAGGCGAGCCATGTGGATGTCACAACAGTGCCCCAACCTCTGGCTCACCCTCTGCTTCTCTTCATACTGCAGGTTCGTGAGCCGCATCCTGGTGGTGCCTGACCACGCCGAGCTGCTCCTTTCCTCCTCCGGGGTAAGGACTTCATTCAGGCAGCTGTGTGCAGCTCTGCGTGCCTGCCAGCACTGAGGGGCCGGAGCCTGCCTGGGACGGTGCCCTAGGCGCAGGCTGGTCCTTGGTTTCCCTGTGTTCATCCACTAGGTGGCGCTTGTTTTCTGAGTTTTAGAGCAGCCTGCTATGTGTTCAGGGCTGTGTGTGTGTTGGGGGGGGCACTAGAACAGGCGTGCAAGGAGTCTGCACTGAGGGCTGTCCTTACCTCTAACGCAGTGTGATCTCAGAACAGTTGACAGACCCTTTCTGAGTCCTAGAGGGACCTGGCTTCTGTCACCACTACTGTGGTGCTCACCTCCTCACCCCATCCCCTGGGGCCCCCAGGTGTGCAGCAGGGTCATGGCACCAGGCTTTGCTGGGACTTTGATGAGTAAGACTTCTGTGTCCTGTGAGTGGGGGCTTGCGGCCTTAAGAATTCCGTGATCAGGGGCACTGCTCTAAGGAACACTCCTTTAAAGGATGATGAAGCAGTAACGTGCCCACGTGAAGGTCTGGCCCCTCCCCGCTCCCAGAAGCTCAGCCCACACTTTTTCCTGCCTTTTAGCTTTTTGTGTGATGGTGGCCTGGTGGCTGCTGGGAGGGCTCCCTGGTGGAGCAGCACTTACTGGGCATCTGCTCTTCATTGCTTCACCACATTTGTTTTCTCATTGATTTTTAATTTTCTGTTTTCTCGTCCTTCTCTTCAAAGCCATGTATACTCATACAAAAGCAAGCAGAGGAAGATGAATGTGGCTGGAGTTCCTGGAGAGCCAGTTTTTCTGAACTTTGCTGTATGCACACCTTCTAGGCTTTTCATTATGAAAGATACTAGGGTACCTTTACTTGACTTTCAGAAAAGTAAACCAGCACCTGACATCTTCCACTCAGCTTTGTCAAATACAGCATTTTGCTTCTGATCCTTTTTAATGAGGTGCTGTGGGGCCAGTGAGATGGTGTCCCTGTGCAGCCCTGCTGTCTCTGTCCCCTGCCTCCTTGTGGGCCCCCAACCTGGGTTTGGTGCTGGGTGCCCCTGCACATTGTAAAGGGCAGTGTTTGTGTTAAAAGCACGTCCTTAGAAAATCAGATCCCGCATTAAGCTTATAAGGAAGAAACAGGGTGTCATCCCCCCACCACTTACCCCTGGCAGCTGGGGCCCTGCTCTGTCCTCTCAGTCCGTTCCCAGATACCATTAGTGGTTGGGAAGCCAAAGGGCAGCAGTTTTCCATGCCGCCTCCTGTCCTCTGTGGGCAGTTATGGCTTGTTGCCCTTTGTCCCGTCGTTCTCCTGGTGGGTGCCTTACCTCCTGCAGCTGTCCCTCTCCTCCTCCCCTCTGTCTCTGTCGCCCCCCTACCCCTGATCAGTTGCTTTCCTTTGGTGGGCACCTCCAGCAGCAGCTTCTGGAAGGTGCAGGGAGGGCGTTACGAGCCTGCCTTTCTGGAAATAACCCTGATGGATCTGTGGGTGTGGACTTCCAGGGTATAATTGTTTCCCTGGATATGAGAAGGCATTGCTCCAAAATTTTCTCTAATAGGGTTTAATTTGCTTGATTTTCTCCTGACTTTTTCTTTTTTCTTTTTTATTAAGGTATTATTGATATACACTCTTATGAAGGTTTCACATGAAAAAAAATGTGATTACTACATTTACCCATAATCTCTAGCCCCCACCCATACCCCAATGGAGTCACTGTCCATCAGTGTAGTAGGATGCCACAGATTCACTATTTGCCTTCTCTGTGCTGCACTGTTTTCCCTGTGACCCCCTACACCATGTGTACTAAACATAATACCCCTCAATCCCCTTCTCCCTCCTTCCCCACCTGCCCTCCTGCACCCCTGCCCTTTGGTAACCACTAGTTCATTCTTGAGGTCTCTGAGTCTGCTGCTATTTTGTTCCTTCAGTTTTTTTTTGTTCTTATACTCCACAGATGAGGGAAATCATTTGGTACTTGTCTTTCTCTGCCTGGCTTATTTCACTGAGCATAATATCCTCCAGCTCCATCCATGTTGTTGCAAATGGTAGGATTTGTTTCTTTCTTATGGCTGAATAGTATTCCATTGTGTATATGTACCACCTCTTCTTTATCCATTCA